CCCCCCCCCCCCCCCCGCCCCGTGACGTCCCCGGTGACCAGGACCTGCCTCTTAAAGTTTCCACTACATGGGCCTTTTGGGGACACTTATCCAAGCATGGCAGGAGCCATTTCAAGGAGACATGGCAAGAAGGAAGCTGGTGTGAGGTGAGCGTTACAGGCTGAACACTTAACATCCTGTCACCTAAAATTTATGTCAAAGCCCTCAATGGGATGGCCTTGAGAGTGGGGTCTTTAGATGATTAAGTTCAGCTGAGACCATGAGGTTGGGGACACAGTCAGTGTCCTTATAAGAGGAATGAATAGAGCTCAACGCCCCCCCCCATGGGGACACAGCAAGAAGGTGGCCATCTGTAAGCCAGGAAGAGAACCCTTGCCAGGAAGCCACTCTGCCAGCACCTTGATCTTGGGTTTTCGGAACTGTGAGATAATTCTGTTGTTGAAACCACTCAGTCTCTTTTGTAAGAGCAGCCGGAGCTGATGGAGCCAGTGGCAGCTGCCTGCTGGTCTGGAGAAAACACATCTGAATGTGGACTCATCAGCTGAGATGGCTTCCAAAGCTCAGCCAAGAAATGAGAGCCAGGGCAGCCATAGACTCCAGGGACCCCGGGGGGCGGGGGTGTGAGAGAGGGGTCAACGTGGGTGGGCCTGGGCCCCTCTCTTCTGCTCTGGCTTCAGGGTCGGGATGGTTTATCCAGGCTGAGAGGAGGGGGGCCACCCTCTGCTGCCCGCTTTTGCCACCCACAACCGCTGGGCTTGGTGCACAAAGTGGGCACAATTGACTTCCTGTCAAGAGTCGGGCCTAGGGGGTTTTTCCATCTGCCCGCTCTCTAACATGCTCATCACCCAGAATTATTTCAGATAAGAAGCTGGAGGGCAGACTGTGGTGATAAAAATGGAGTTCTTCTCCAGAACTAACTGACCCAGAGGCAGATCCAACTTGTGACCTTGGACTTAGCAACCATTCAGCTGAGCACAGAAAGCCAGGGCAGGAGAATCACCCCACCACCGCCACAGCCAGCAGGCAGATCCCTGTTCCAGAGACCCCTCCTCCCGGGTGTGGACACTCACCCTCAGGGTATGTGAAGCCATCCCTTGAGCTAGAACTGTGCTAATAATTATAATCCATCTTGACCTTCTACATTATTCTATTTTAGAAAGGATGGTATGCTTTGGCCTGAGGGAAGAATGTTTCCTTTCCCTGAGCTGTTTTCCAGCAAGAGTTGGATTCTGTACATGTGCTGCTGGATGCCCTTCTCATCAGCCTTCTTTAGAGAATGACCCCGGGACGTTGCTTTTAAAAAAACTTTTATTTTTTTAAGACAAGGTCTCACTATGTAGTCCAGTCAGGACTGACTTACTATGTAGCTCAGCTGGCCTCCAACTTGCAATCCTCCTGCCTTGGCCTCCTGAATACTAAGATTACAGTTGCATGTGCTACCATGGCTGGCTTCAGAGGGCTCTTTCTAAAATGCAAATCCAAAATTACCAGAATTATAGTAGCCCAACACAGCACAATATGTTTCATTTCTTGGGATCAGAAGGCCCAAAATGACTCTCCCTGGACTAAAACCAAGGCATCAGCAAGGCTGCCTTCCTTCTCTGTCTCCCGCAATTTTCCAGCTTCCCGAGGTTGCCTGCACTCCTTGGCTCAGGGCCCCTTCCTCTGCCTGCAAAGCCAGCAGTGGAGCAGCTGCGGGCCTCTCGATGTCTGTCTTTCTCTTTTCCCCTGACCCTCTTGCCTCCCTTTTCTAAGGACCCTAGGGATGGTATTAGACCTACCAGGATAATCCAGGATACACTCCCTATCTCAAAATCCTTAATCACATCTGCAAAGTCCCTTTTGCCATGTATGATGACACATTCACAGGCTCTGAGGATTAGGACCTTGAGTGATTATTCTGGGGGGATTATTCTCCTAGGCGAGTGGCTCTGTCCCATTCATTCTGAATCTCCCTGCATGAGGAGGCGTGGAAGCCGAGCTCTGAGGGAGTGGACAAGTGAAGGAACAGCTCCCCAGAGACCAGGTGGGCAAGAAGCAGCCAGTGTTCCCCGAGCTGGCCCCATCTGTCACGTGGCCCCCTTGACTCGCTATTGTGGACAGGCCACAATCTCTTGTCCCGAGTCCTTTCCACAAGCCCTGTGAGGCTGTGGGTAGAGCTGGGGCCTATGGCACTTTCGCTCTGAGCCTAAGGAAGCTTCAGCAGCCTCTGTTCAGCCTGGAGGGGCTCTGGGCACAGAGCTAGAGACAGGGAAGATGACCCGGGGACCAAGCTGAAATACTGAGTGGCTCCAGGGCAGGGAGGAAGCTGCCGGGGCACCCCTTCAGCTTGGAGCTGACCCCCAAATGTTTGATCTCCTTGACTCAGAGGCCAGGTGCCAACTTGGTTGTCTTACAGGCCTAGGGGGCGGGGCCCCTTCCCACTGCAGCTGGGGAGGCTGGAGGGAGCTCTGCTTGGAGTCATACAGACCTGAGCTCATAGTCTGCGAAGCCGGTGCAGGTCCTAGAAACAACCAACTCAATGATACTAAGCTCTGGCTGCTGTACCTCCTCCTTGCCCTGTGCTTCAAGTGGCCATTGTGAGGTCAACAGCTGTCCCTACCAAGTGCCATGTTTGGGGCACAAAGAGCAGTGGAGAGGCAGGACACACTGGGTCATTGTCTCTGGGGCTGAGCAGCAAGCAATTGTGGGTGCCAGGGGCTCCTCCTGACCTCAGCCCCTCCCAGCCACAGCAAGTCACCAGCCAGCCACCCCTCTCAGGTGGCTGAAAAGGCAGGGAGCCCAAACCCCCAAGGGCACCTTTCAGCAGGGACCTCAGAAATAATGAACTCAGAGAATGGGGGAACCATGGACCTGGGGGCAGGACCAAGGTCCTGGAGCATCAGGCCACACGCATTCCCAATACAGTGGACTCTCTAGTTACCATGGGCCTGACATACAAATGACCGGAATTTTAGTTTTAACTTACCACCGAAGTCTTGAGTTATGACCCAAATGCTGGCCGCTTGTGCTTCCAGATGGTCTCAGATACAGATTTAACCCTTTAAGAGTTCTGGAAGGAACATGACAACATCTTTCCCCGTGTGGGGTTAATTTAGAAATCCTGGGCCAGTGTCTTTCTATACACAGGAGACTCTGAAGGCTGTATAGAGGAGCCTGCGCCTTCATCGACCAAGTTGAGTTACAACCAGCCCTTGCAAATGATCTGAGTTCATAAGTCAAGGGTCCACTGTATCTTACCTGGGTGGGGCGAGGACAGCAGACAAGTCCTATATCTCATGGCAGGAAAACTCACAAAACTTCTCCCATGTCAGGCATCTTCGTGCACCTCTCCCTATCCTCAGCTGCATGCATGGAGGTAACAGTTGCTGGACCCATTTTATTAGTGTGGAAGCTGGGGCACAGAAAGGCCACCCATTCCTGGCACAGGATGAGAGGCTGGTGGCTGACAAAGCCCAGAGTTGAAGTCTGGCTGTCCCATGCCACAACCTGCGCCCTTACCAGGAACTCAGGGTGTGAGAGTGGGATGTCAGGCGGGTGCACAAGATAAGAGGGAGGAGGGCAAAGCCGTGCTATGCCAGAGGGCACTGGCTGTGGGGCTCCGTGGTCAGTGTGTGTGGGGAGGTGTGCATTGTAAAGGGGAAGGAGCAGCATGATGCTGATTCAGAGAATCTGCAGTCAGAGCTAAATGAGAGCCTCATAATGATTGTGATTAAAAATTAACACCTCTGTTTGTGTAGTGATTTGGGTGTCCACTTTGCTCCCATGAATTAATTAATAAATGACATCGCAAGTGCTCAGGATAAACTGCAGGGTACAGAAGGGGCACTGGGAAGTTCCAGAGAGGACATCCGTGAGCTAGGCAACAGGACTCCTCACCAAGGGCATCAGCAGGACTGGCCTGGGGGTCACTTCCTGTCTTTGTACAAGGGGGTGCCAGGATACCTTGGGAACCACAGGTAGTCTCGGACAGGGTAGTTTCCCCTGGCCTCAGACTCAGGCTCAACTCAAGACTCTTGAGTCACACAATTCCTGTGGGTTTCTATTTGCCCATCTCTAAAACAGGGCGGATCAACCAGGTGTGGTGGTACACCAGTGATCTCAATGCTCTGGGAGGCTGAAGCAGGAGGTTTGCAAGTCTGAGCCCAACCTGGGCAACTGAGCAACTCAATAACCTGTCTCAAAATAAAAGATGAAAAGGGGCTGGGAATGTAGCTGTGTGCAAAAGTCCTGGATTTAATCCCCAGCACCTGACCCGAGAGAGAGAGAGAGAGAGAGAGAGAGAGAGAGAGAGAGAGTGAGAGAGAGAGAGAGAGAGAGAGAGAGAGAGAGAGAGAGAGAGAGAGAGAGAGAGATGTGGTCTATTGAAACTAAATTTCTAAGTGGGAAGGTGCATTAGTATCCTGTGGCTGCTGTGATAAATGACCACAAACTGGGGGTTTAAAAGAACAAAAATTTACTCTCGAATTCTGGAGGCCAGAACTGTAACACCAAGGTGACAGCAGGGCTGGTTCCATTGCCTGCTTTGCAAGCACAAGGACCTGAGTTCCATCCCTGGAACAAAAAACCAGCCAACCAACAAACGAACATATAACTAAAGCTATTAAGAAGAAAACATGGGATGCTTCACGAATTTGCATGTGGTCATCCTTGTAGGGGCAATGCTAATCTTTTATGTGTTGCATTAATTTTGGTATCTATGCTGCCAAAGCAAGCTTGAAAAAAACTTTTTTCAAATGCTTTTGAAAGGTAAGGGATGTGGCTCAGCGGTAGACCCCTTGCCTGGCATGAATGAAGCTCTGGGTTCAAAGCTTAATCCCTAGGGAGAAAAACAAAGAAACCCAGGCTGAGTGTGCTAAGAGCCCCTCCAGCCTAGCTAGCCACCCACCACTCCCTCTGGCAAACGCGCTCTGCAACACTCCACCGCCCTCAGCAGACTCCCAGTGCTCTCCAGCAGCCCCTTCCTGCCCCTGCTTCGGGTCCCTTATTGCCCATTAATTTAATGTGCTGTTTGCTGTCAAATCCACCTGGACTGGGCCGCCCCCTAGGACAGAGATGCTCGGTGAGGGTGGGGGCTGTGTATGGAAGAACTCCAGACACTCGGATTTTAATGCCATTGCTGTCATTGAGGTAGGACAGAAGAAAGAGGCAGATAGCGTACAAGGAAATCAGGATTTTTTTTTTTTCCTGGTACCAGGTATCAAACTAGGGTCCTTGCACTTGCGAAGCAGGTGGCAGAACCACTGAGCTAAATCCCTGGCCCAGAAATCAGGATTTGAAAGCTGTACTTTTAAGAAACATTGCAGCTTCAGGACACTACAAGTTACTTGAGCCTTCTTTCCTTCCAGGAAAGTCACTCAAATGATTCCTCGAGGTCTTAAAGACACAGGAAGGCTATAAATTGGGTTTTGAGCCCATCTTTTTTACCTGTAAATTGCGCTTTCTCCATCCTTAGGAAGCAGCAGTATTAGTGGGCAGCAGATCTCAACTTCAACTACCCGTAAACGACTTCCATTCCGACAGAGCCTTCTAGATGAGTAACCTGAGTGGGAATGAACATCCTGGATCCCCTATCTTGAACCTTCCCCCAGGACCTCATGAAAAACCTCAGCTTTGGTTTATAGAGCACTTCCTTTTCTCCCGAGAGCCTGCACTTTCTTTCCTTGAGTGTGTACTTTTGGATTTCTGCATAATAACATTCTTCCCAGGCCTCACTCTGACCTATCCTGAAACTTTTTTTTTTTTCCACAAGGGAAGTCAACAAACCTCTAAACATGCTGTTTAGGGTGGGTTATGTTTTTCATCTCAGCTTTGGGAACCTCTCAGTCTCAATCAGATGACATTTTCTCTTGGTGAGCCAGCCAGGAGGTAAAAAGAGTCATCAGAACCGAAACTTTGGTAAGTCTACCTCAAGGCTTTTCTCCCCCACACCTTCCCCAGTCCCTTGCCCTCTGAAACATCATTTATCTGTCTTATTTCTCCCCTTTCTCTCTGTCTACAAACTTCTGCAGCTATGGACTCAAATTGAGAAAGAGTCTACTGGTTTTCTTTTTTCCCCCCTTTTTATCCCCTAAGAAAGCCCCAGTCCTTTTCTTGTCCCATCTCTCCCGCCCTGAGGCTTTCATCTATCAAAAAGCTTGAATCCTTTAACTTTCTCTGATATTAGTTATCAGGAAGAGGCAGGTAGCTGGACTAATGGAAGCTGGGGAGTTTAGGGAGTTTTCTGATGGCTGGGGGACAATTCCTAGCCTGTCCCACCATGTGGGATAGGAAGCGCATGGTCTCTGTACTTGTCTGCTGGTAGGAGAGGCCCACAGGCCCAGAGGAAAGGCTCTACTTCAGCCCTTCTCAGCCCTGCTATTACCTGCCTATGTCCTGTAGCTGCCCATCTAGCCCGCCTGTAGGTTTTTTTTTTTTTTTTTTTTTTTGTACCAGGGATTGAACTTGGGTCCTTGGGCTTGCGAGGCAGGTGGCAGAACCACTGAGCTAAATTTCTGGCCTAGGTAATTCCCGTCCTGCCCCCCGGCCAGCCTCTCTGGCTTGCATCTCTAATGTTAGCTTGCTTCCTCCTCCACTTCATTTGTTTCTGGTATTATTACTGGAACTTTGGCCTCAAGTTTATCTCCCTATCTAAAATGGTATGTGATTTGTAATTGACAAGTGACATCTCCAGATTTTTTTTCCCCCAGACTTTAAAAACCCTCTATGAGTTCCTTGTGGATGTTACAGGTCTCTAGATATAAAGATTTTTGGGGTGACTTTTTGAGTGAAGCCCGACTCTTGTGTGCAACTCCTTTTTCCTACTTTCCTGATCTGTTCATCAAGGTTGGAGTAGCTACATGGCAGGAACCAAGGCACTTGTTCTGGACACGAACAACAGATTTCCACATGACTAGCAGGGATCCCTGGACTAGTCAATGACAAAATGGAGCAGTTGCCTCCCTGGACAGTTCTGGCTCAGAGAAATGGGCAGGCTGCACACAGCATGAGCCCAGGATGAGGGGGACAGCTCACACAGCTTGGCCTTGGGGACCTAAATAGGATCCCATCCTATCTTTTCTTTATTTTTCATTCTCTCTTTACCTCTTTCCAGAAGAACACAAGGGGAACCTAAAAGGCATACAGTCCATCTTAAATTATTTTGCTAACTCAGTGTTCCTAAAATGTCAGCTTTAGGTTGTATTTTATGAATTTGGGACCCATTTAAAATGGAGGATCTTAGAAGGTTTTCTCCAAATGTAAGGTAAAAAGTAAAAATGACAGACTTAAAGTTGGTTTTATAAGAAGAGATAATAAACAAAGATTTCACACGAGGATCTACAGCTCTTTCGCCTTTCTGACTATTGCTGGTTGTACATGTGTGATGTTAACTAACAGAAAAAAGGTACATGGAGTAGCTCACAGTATTAAAGAAACATTGTTACTGTCACCTAGCAGGATCTGTGAGGTCCCTGACACTGAAATGGGGAATTGTTCCACCCTCTTATAGGTTCACTGACTTCTGTCACAGAAAGAATTGTCAGGATGCATCAGCAAAAGATGTGAGTTTATAGAACACACTAAAAAAACAGTGTGGCTTGTGTGTGTTCACAGAAATAAGAGAATGTATAAGCTGGAGAGGTACACTTCAGGAGTGTCTTCAAGTTGGGTGATCCAGATGTGTATTTTCACTTGTCAAGTTATATAATGCAAGCTATCTAGGAATATTTGAAATTGAGATACGCTGCCTGCCAGTGTTCCTGCTTCCTCGGTGTCCTAGTTACTTTTCTCATTGCTGAGATAAAGTACCTGACAACCAAAGTTAAATAAGGAAAGGTTTATTCTAGCTCAGAGTTTGTAGGGATTTTAGTCCATAGTCAGCTGGTTCCAAGGCAGAGCACAGCAGAGGGGCATCACAGAGCAGAAACAGTCATTGGCATGGCAAACAGAAGGCAGTGAGCAACAAGCAGTAGGCAGCAAAAGCAGCAGCAGCAGCAGCAGGCCTCCCTTTCCCTTTTATCCCATCCAGGCCACAAGCCTCTTGGGTAGTGTCACCCACACCCAGGGTGGGCCTTCCCATTAAACACACCCAGAACTATGTTAAACTAATTAATCCAGTACCATACACCCTTAATCCCAGTATCACATACCCATGATCCAGCCACCTTTGAAAAGCCCCGCCTATGAATGCATAAGGCTTTGGGGGAACATCTAGCCATAATACTTGGAGTGGAAGAAGCATAATTACAGGTGAAAAGGGCAGGTGTAGAGTCTTACTTAACAGGCTGATTGATTTGGATTTTTTTTGGTACCGGGGATTGAACTTGGGTCCTTAGGCAGGCCACCAAACCGCTGAGCTAAATCCCTGGCCCCTGGATTTTCTTTTTGAGTGAGCTTCCTAGAAGGGATAAATGCTGGTCATAAAACTCAATTTTTTTCTTAAAAGTGCAGTTTTTAAAATCACAATTTCACCAGTGTTTAGTTTTTTATTGAGGTGCTCAGGTTGGAATAAAGTGGTATAAAAAGCAAAAAAAAAAAAAAAAAAATAAAAAAAAAAAAAAAAAAAAAAAAAAAAAAAAGATATCTTTAAAGTGGGTGACATGTTTTCATACAGGTTGTTAGCCAATCAAGATAATATTTATTTTAAAAATTGGTTTATAAATGTTACATCCATTGTTTTCTGTGTGCAATATAATTTCTAAGATGAAACTACTGAACTCCATTACTTTTGTGATATAAACTAGCTTTAATGTTTATATCACCTGGAGCCAGTCATTACAAAAGGTCTGCAGGTCTACAAAATAGAACCCTGCAGGGCAGGGGACTTAGCTCAGTGGTTCCTCCACCTGCCTCATAAGCTCAAGGTCCTGAGTTCGATCCCCAATACAAAAAATTAAAACAAAAAGAACCCTGCAATAAGAATGTTACACTTGATCTTAGCCAAAAGGCCAAGATGCTATTACACAAGAATGTTAATACATATAGCTTTAAAAGATGAACTATGCCTTGCTTTGGTACTCATGAGTCATCTAAAATAATTGTTAAAGGGCCGGGGATTTAGCTCAGTGGCTCTGCCACCTGCTTTGCAAGTGCAAGGTCCCAAGTTCGATCCCTGGTACCAAAAAATAAATAAATAAAATAAAAATAATAATGGTAATTGTTAAGATGAGTAAATAAGTAAATATAAGTAGGAGTAATGCTTATAAATAGTCATAACAATATCTAAGTCATAAGTTGGCTAAATATAATTCCTGAAGTTTGTAAAAGATAATATATTTTGATTTGGTAAATGTGTTCTCATAAATTATTAATATATATAAATGTTTAAGACTTCTGTTAAGTTTATGCTGAGTGTCACTTGGGCAATGCTTTTGTTTGTGTACTGACTATTTTGAGCGTTGCTCAGGCAGTTGATTCTTGCATTGAATAAATTTGATAAAACTTTTTATATTTCCTGATATATTATCTTATAAAAATTAATGCCAAAATGTGCAATATTTAGTCATGCTGTCTTCAAATACTTGGACTGGTCAAGTGGTTAAACTAAGAGTTTAATTTCTCATATTTAATTTTACATGAAAATGATATTTTAAAGATTTCCCTAAATGGGCTACTCTAGGGCCTAAGGAACTACTGCCCAGAACTCTCCTCTATGGCTGAAAGAGCTGCTGAACCAGATTGCTTTAGTTTTTCCACTGGTGGGTAGCTTCTCTGGTTTTTCCCCAATCTTATTGG